TACCATGAAAACTTTGATGAAATAGCGAAGAAAGAGAGAGAAAGAGAAAAAACATTCTGTCATGCCCCAATTTCACAACATGATGTAAACTAACTAATAACCATTAAAATCATGAGAGTATAATTAAATACCATTAAGTAAAGCAAAATCAATAACTAATATCATCTACCTAAACACCAATCCCAAAATAAATATAATTAAACCATCAAAAGTTACATCCCAAACCTTAAATAACAACAATTATCCCAGTCTAACTAGAAAGCGTTTATAAATATTGTTTTAATCATCAGAACTTTAAACTAAAGGCCGATAAACAACTCTTTAAGCCTCCAAAGCTGGATTCACATCCTGACCCACTTCAAGGTCCATGTCCCCATTCTCACCTAAGGTTGTATCTTATATGATATCAAAATTTGAGAAAAAAGTTAAAGGAAGGGGTGAGCAAAACTAGTTCAGTGGAAAAACTTTCCCAAACTTAAATAAGGTTTACAAAATATATAAAAACAAGTTGGTGTCAATTTAAAAAATAACCATATAACTTTCGAACCAAAACAAGTGACAATTAAGACGATCTCAAGTTTTGATGTGTAAGCAGAAATCCATAAACGAGTGGAACAAATTCTCAAACAATAGATAATAGCAAATATATCTCATGTACATTGGTTGATTAGCATGAATCCATACATTGAATATATCTGGCCCACATACATTCACAAAATCATCCAACCAATTCTTGCAAGGAAGTGGATATATTGACGCATCGTTCTTTAACAAAATCTTTCTAGGAATAGTATATTAGCCACCAACCTCGATCCATGTGAGTAAATAGTACGAATTCTTAAAACCTTGCAAAGAACCAAACAACTCCACTACGAGTGAGAGGGAATTTTCAAATCTCTCGAGTTGACAAGTGCATCTAAACACTTTGTTATATAAGTTTGAGTGCAATCCACGTTCGTCACAATTCATAGTTTCGCAATTCTCAAAATAGAAGAATCCTTCAATTAAAACATGCAAGAGATCGCCAAGAAACATTTTCAATTCTACAATATGCAAGATCTAGGGTTTTTGGATCAAAATTGTATGATTGGATGTAAAACATATATTTTTCTAATAACACGTATCATGTAATTGAAAATAATGCAAAATCGTAGTAGATTTATCATGTATATTAGAATCGGAATCAAAACATACATATTCTTAATCCTAACCTTAATGAATAAGAATGAGAAAGAAACCCTTCCTTAATCCACAGATAATAAATCCAAACCTGTTTTGTGCGATTACTAATTGTTAATCTCTTCAAGATCTAGCCCCTTTTTTCTCATTTTTCTTCTCTTTAACCTTTCCATGGCCTCTTAGGGTTGAACAATATGTAAAGAACCCGCGTCCGTATGGTATTTATCAGGTAAAAAACTGTTCACTGCTGGGGGTGCAACTCGGGCGGGTTGGACAATCAACCCTAGCCTAACCCTAGGTATATAATCTTCAATTCTAACCCTAACCCTACCTCGGGTTGGGAAACTCAACCCGAGCACTGCCTGAGTTTAATTCGGGCGGGCTCGGGTTGATGATTTCGGGCTAATTTTGGGTTACTTTACAGGTTCAATTCGGGTAGAGCCCAAAATAGGTTTGTTGTTCTAAACCTAATACATATATTACATCATGTTCATCTAAATTAACAATCAATAATTTCAACCAAGTTTTTAACGAGAGAGGCAAAGAGAACGAGAGAGACAGAGAACGATAGAACAAAAATAAAAAATCAGTGCTAATACTTTATATATATAAAAAAAAAATTTAATTTCTTAGGTTCGGGTTGAACCCGGGTTCATGAGGCCTTAACCCGAGCCCAACCCAAATTGAATTTGGGTTAGGATTTTTTGACCCAAGTCCAACCCAAGTATTAAAAACCCTTGTCCAAGGTCTAATTTTTTCGAGTTGGGCTCGGGTTGAAATTGGGTTGCCCAACCCAAGTTGCACCCCTATTCACTGCAGTACTGATCTGGCTGAAAAGCGTGTCTGCGTTCGAACAAAAAAATCTACATTTGAATGGGAAAAACTATGTTTGAACGACCTTCACGCCTAGAATCTCCTATTCTCTGATCAGTTTTTTGAGGTCAGCTCCTAGTTTTTGTACCCAGTCTCCGTCTTCCAACCCAATTTTAACCTAGTTAGAAGCATAGTTATCAAATCGTGTATCGGATGGCGTATCGTTTTTTAAAAATAGTGTATCGTATCGTGCATCGTATCGTGTATCGTAAGATACGGCGTAATTTTAAATAATTAATTGTAAAATATATATGCTTTTGAAAAAAAAACATAGGTTCATAAAAATATAACATTTCATTAATATTCCACTTACTATTCAAGTCACCAATATAATTTACTAATATTAAAAAAATAAAGGGTATCAAATTAAATTAATAATACTTATATATACTAAAAAATAAAAAGTTATAATTTAGGGGGTATTAAATGTAATTTTTCATTCTTATAACCATAGTCGTGAGTCTACCCAGTGCCCACGACTCACGAACGAACACAGAGAGCCAGAGAGAAAAGCAAAAGGCGATCGTGATGTCGGTGGAGAGAGAGAGAGGAAGAAGAAGAATAAGACGAACAGTGGTACCTAGGGTTTCATCCGAAATTTACAGGTTAGTATTGCTATTTTTTTCAATTTCAAAAATTTGTTTGATTTGCTTTTGCTTTTGCGTGGGTGTTTTTGCTGATTTGTTGCCTGGTAATTCTTGTCTTCTTTATCTCTGTTGGCTTTGGTGGCTTCGGTGTCTTCATCTCTCTTGCTTTTGCTTCGGTGTCTTCATCTCTGGTGCGAATCAAGCTATCAAAAAAAAAAAATAAAAAAATTAAACAGTGACTTCACGTATCGGTGCATATCGGTACGATACGTATCGTGTATCGGACGATACAATACAAAAACGATACATAACTACGATCCGTATCGGTTTAGGCCTGTATCGTGACATATCGTACGATACTAACAACTATGGTTAGAAGTAGATTTAAGAAATTTTTGTGATATACATTTTTATTATTCTTGAAGTTGACTTTTTAATGTCGCAAGAATTAGGTCCAATCGAACATTTGAGTACAAAGTTATGGCCTATGTATTGAGGTAGAATCAAATTCTTTCCTATTCAAACTCTCTTCAAATATACGTTTTAACCCCAAAACACCTCAAATCACCTATTCCAAGGTTTTTTAACGCTCATAATCCATTTTTATGTTATTTTCACCTAATTAAGTTTAGAATTCCACCAACTCAATTTCTCCTAAAAAGTGATTACCTTCAAACATCAAGCCTTTCAAAGATCTCAACAATTCCTACAATAATCATTTACAATATAATCTATTTATCCTTACATCATATAAAACTGAACACAATACATCATAATCTAATATAAATTAAAATAAATACATGAGGCTAGACCCATTATAATGGCAAATAGTTTGTTTACAATATAGTGATAAAAGATTTAAATAGAAACCCTTTTATAGTAGAGAAAAACAATACTAGAAAGTAACTAAATTATTCTTAACACTAAAATATTGCAACAAGTTGAATGAGGGAAATGAATTGTCATTTCGAAGACTCCGTCTTTTTTGGGCAATCTCTTAGAAGAAACTAATTGATTTGTTTCAAAGTATTATATTGTTTCTAATTCAATAAGGAATCTACTTGCTTTTGTTCTCTACATAAAATAGGATTCTAGTATTCATTTTATTTCAAGTTTAATTAGGATTCGAGTGTATTGTTTTATATTTCGATTAGGGTTTTGCTACTATAAGTACCCAATTATTTAACCTCTTATGAGGATGTAATATTATTCAGAGAAATCATTTTTCTCTCTTTCCAATTGCTTTGTTATTCTAGGATTCCATAAAGGCATTGAAGAACTTAGCTTGGTATTTATATGTGATGATCAACATGTTTAAGTTTTCTGTTATTTCGGTTCATTGAATCACGTTTCTTGTATCAGTGGGTAACAAAGCGGACGATTTTTCCTTCACCATGTTGTTTAAAAGAAGTATTAATGGTTGGAACATGTCTCTTGACAACGTTCTTGTACGTGATGATAAGTTTAGAGAACACAATATTAGAGCTACTGGTGGAGTAGTTAAAACTTAACCTACTTCTCATAAATCACTTGTATTTATAGCTATCTTGTAATCATACAAAAGACGAGTATACTCTCTTTATGGTATACTTATTACAACTAATACTTACACAATAATACTCTTAACACTCCTCCTCAAGTTGGACTATATATATATCATATAATCCAAATTGGGAACAAATAGCTGTAAGACGCGTACAACTCAATGCTTTGGTAAATACATTTGCAAGTTGATCCTCAGATCTGACAAATGGAGTTGTAATATCTTTAGCTATTATCTTGTCTCAAATAAAGTGGCAATCAACTTCAATATGTTTGATTCTCTCGTGAAATACAGGATTGACAGCGATATGGATAGTTGCCAAATTATCGCAAAACAACTATAAAAGAGGTTAAACTGAAAAATCAATTTCTTGGAGAAAGTGTAGTAATCACGTCAACTCACTAGTTATATGTGCCATTGCTCTATACTCAACCTCTACGCTAGATCTTGTTGTCACTGTTTGTTTCTTACTCTTTTATGAGACAATGTTACTTCTGAAGAAAATACCAAGCACTGAAATTAAGTATTTCAGCCATTTTTTTTCAAGATTTAAATCCAACTAGAAAGTGGACTAAAACCTCCAAATAGATCTCTTAGGATTAGCCAACCAAATGCAATACACATTTTGTTGAGGGGGGAGGGAGGGATGTGTACTCTTTAACATTTTTACTAAAACCCAATGCAGAATCCTAATTGAATTTCAAAAGTGCCCCCACATTTTGGGGTTGCAATTAACAGGCTCAATTTTAGTTCCAAAACTCTATTTATAAGGCTAATATGGTGGAGTGATCATTGGTTTATGTATGCTTGACTTGCAAATGGTGGTTTGTGAAAACAGGGTTAGGCTGGAGTCGGTATCACATTATTTGCTTTCACTACATATTGTTCAACCAGCTCATTTTTCACTACTCCTTAATTGAGTACTTACCCTTGGGAAACTGTGGCAATATAATAATTTACATATCTTATTGCTATTGATAAAATTTAACAAAGAGTATGAAGGGCTGCTGAACAAGAAAATTGTGTAATATTTGTGGGCAGATACTGCACAAATACTGGGAGAGGCGTGATGTTAAAGGGGCTCTTAGTGCGATGGAGAAGATGGCTGATCACGCTGTAAGTATTAATGTCTTTCTGGCATGAAGTATTATGTCTTTCTTGCATGCTTCTTTCTTTTTGTTTTTAAATCATTTTGTCTTCATTTTTTCAATTTGCAGGCACGATAAGATTTATCATGTGATTAATCCTATAGAGCCCCACTACTTGTTTTCCCCTTTTTTTTCCCTGTCACATACACGTTAATTTCCAAATGCTTCATGATGCAGGTTCTTGCCGATGTGATCAGCTTGTTGGCAGAAAAAACTGACATCATCACACTGGATATTTGCACTTGTCTCCTGCCACTCCTGACAGGTCTTCTGGAAAGTGGCATGGACAGGTAACAAACTTGCATGATATCTGGCCTTTCCTTATATTCTTAGCCTGTTAACAGTTCACTTTTATAAACGATCGTCTACTAGGTTTGAGCAGATGATAAGACAATACAATCGATATTACAATCTTCATCTATTATTGTGTGCTGTCCCCATCTTAAACCTAAGTTAATGGTCGACCTGTTATGCAACTATATACTGCTGATATTCCTGTCTCATTTAACCTGAACATTTTCATTTTGAAATTTTGTGAGTTTTTTCGGTGAATGAGTTATTGGGAGGGTAGCTAAGTTCACGGTTGTCTGAAATAAAGTGATAGTAAGTTATTGAACCCTCATTTATTTGTCTTGAATAGATGTGAGTGTCTACTGACATTACTTGTACGTAATTTTAGTTATTTTTTATTCTGTTTGTTCTATTAATAAAATCCATTGGATTTCTTAATGTTCGTTTGTCATTTTTTTGGCTCCACTAACCAAAACCATTAAATCATAACTTGTGTGGATGTTTTGACAAAAAGTTGGTCCATGTACTAGCAGGAACAAGCGAAGTGGGAAGAGAGAGGTAGAGTAATATAGTGTTTTCATTGTTTTGTAGGGGTGCAACTCGGGCGGGTTGGATAATCAACCCTAGCCCAACCCTAGGTATATAATCTTCAACTCTAACCCTAATCCTAACCCTAACCCTACCTCGGGTTGGAGAACTCAACCCGAGCACTGCCTGAGTTTAATTTGGGCGGGCTCGGGTTGAATTCGAGTTACTTTACGGGTTCAATTCGGGTAGAGCCCAAAATAGGCTTGTTGTTCTAAACCTAATACATATATTACATAATATTCACCTAAATTAATAACCAATAATTTCAATTAAGTTTTTTAACGAGAGAGACTGAGAGAACGAGATAGGGAAAGAGAACGGGAGAGACAGAGAACGATAGAATAAAAATGAAAAATCAGTGCTAATGTTTTATATATATAATTTTTTTTTTAATTTGTCGGGTTCAGGTTGAACTCGGGTTTACGAGGTCTTAACTCGAGCCCAACCCAAATGAATTCGGGTTGGGGTTTTTTGACTCATGTCCAACCCAAGTATTAAAAATCCTTGCCCAAGCCCTAATTTTTTCAGGTTGGGCTCGGGTTGAAATCGGGGACAAAGGCATTATTAGACCATTATTAGAGACCAAGATTCATTTTCTTAGAACTGACTTGAAATATCTCAAAATACGATGAATAGCTTCTAGATGAGGTACTTGAGGGTCATGTATGAATTGATTTACGATTTTCACTACATAAGCAATATCCGACCGAGTATGAAGGAGATATATCAACTTTGCACTAATCTCTGGTATCTCTCTTTATCCACAACATCACCAATATGACTCACTAGCCGATGGTTCACTTCAATGGAAAAATTTGTAGGTCTGCATCCCAACATACTAGTTTCTTCAAGCATATCAAGAACATATTTACTTTGAGAGATAAAAATGCCTTTGTTTGGTTTGGTAACTTCAATCCCAAGAACATATTTACAATTTATCACACGTTTACCCGTTAAATAAAATTAATATAATAATAAATTAATAGTTATTTTAAAAATTAGCAAGAAAAAAAGAAGTAAAAAAAAAAAAAAAAAAAAAAGAAGTATAGTAGTAGTTCAAAGACAAAGGAGAGGAGATGGGGACAAAGGCAAACCAATGCCTTTTGTTTTTGTCTTACATTGAAAAATGAGGGGAGATGGGGAGGAATGAGTTGCCTATACAAGGCAATGACCTCTTGTTTTTTTTTTTTTTAAACCTTCAAGTTTTATTTTTATGAGATTTGACTAAAAACTTCTCTTTTTTGAGGTAAGTGCAATTGATAATAAGAAAAAGTAGAGTATTAAAATTTGTTGATATAATTTTTTTTAAATTAAATGGGTTAAACGAGTCGTGTTGTGTTACTCGTTTATTAAACGAGTCGTGTTTGTGTTGAGATTTTTTATCTGTTTATCAAACGTGTCGTGTATGGGTTTATATATTTTTTACCTGTCACCCGTTTAATCCGACACGATTGACACCCCTACTTCCAACCTTGAGGAATAGATTTAGAGGACAAGCGAGAAATAAATGTATGGTAAGATGGAGATAAGGAATAAAAAGAAGCATAGTTAGATGTGGGGTGTCGAGTATAAGCTCGAACACCTTTTCTAACTACAGTAGGAAGCTTAGAGTCATCAACAGTTGAATTATCAATAAACTAGGTGACAATTGGAAGCTCATTATCTAGTGAGCCAATAAGAGATGCTAGAACTAGGGTGGAGGAATTCAACTGACCCGGCGGCACATTCGTGATCTGTACCTTTTGACGCTGAGAATAGGTCTTCAGAGTACAAGGTAGATTATTGGTACTAATAATTTGTTGCTTCCCCTTATTAGTATCCTACTAGAAAGGTAATTGAAGGAAGGGCTCTTGACATACCATTTCTTGCTCAGTAGTTGGATTCTCCCCTAGAATAATTGGCCGGAAGGAGAGAAAAAGGACTCAAAACTCATGAAAGGTAACATCCATGCTAATATACCTCTTCTATGTTGGCGGATGGTAACATTTATACCTTTTTTGAGTGGGAGAATAATCCATAAAGACACTGCAGAACCTTAGGATCAAGTTTCCCCCTGGATGCTCTATGGTCATGGACAAAATAAACACATTAAAAAACTTTAGGAGAAAGAGAAGAAATAGAGGAATCGGTAAAATCCTAGAAAGACACACCCAAAAGAAGACTTAAATTGCAAGACACCAAAAGGTAGATGATTAGTAAGATAAGTAGTAGTAAGTACATCATCTCCTAAAAAGTGCATAGGAACATTCAAAGTAAATAGCAGGGAATGGACAACCTCAAGAAGATTGGTGATTTTTTGCTCAGTAACACTATTTGTTCCGGGGTACGCACACAAGTAGTTTGATAAAGGATGTCCTTCTCACTAAGCTAAAAGCGAAATTCTCCATCAATATACTCATTCCGTTGTCATTGCAAAAGACTTTAATTTTGGCATCAAATTGGGTACTAACAATTTTGTGAAACAAAAGCATGAAAAAACTTCATTTTAGTGTGTAGGAAGTACACCCAAGTAAGACGAGAATAACAATCAATAAAAGTGACAAATCAACGGTAACTGAGATAAAGATAACACGGGAAGGTGAGTGAATGATAACAAAAGAAACAATGCTTTTATTATTAGTACTAGGATAAGAAGAACTTTGTGCTTAACAAATTTGCAAGCATCACAAATAAAAAATTGCCTACAACACTACTTTAATAAACTAGGAAAAATATGCTTTAAAACACCAAACGAGGGATGTCCCAAACACCAGTGCCACTGAAGTAGGATCTGAAGGGCTAAAACACTATTTTCCTAGAGAGCTTGACAAGTGGACTAAGGAAAATCTTCATCATCTAGGAGATACATACCACCATGTGCTCTACCATAGCCAATCGCTTTTCTTAATTCTAGTTTCTAAAATGTACAATGAGTAGTAAAAAAGTACTAAATAATTCAGGAATTGAGTAATGCTAGCTAGTGGAGAAATTGGGAGCATAAAGAACAGAGGAGAGGGAGAGGTAGAGTGAGCAATTAATTGAACCTTTCCCGAAAATTGAGGATAAGTATCCATCTGCCACCTTGACTTTATCGCTATTTGAACATGTAGAGTATGAGAAGAAAAGACTAGAATAACATATCATGTGATCTGTGGTTTTAGAATCTATTATCCAAAGAGTATATGAGGATAATGCAATAAACACACTACATATACCCATGTGAGCAAAGTTGGAGAAAGAGCTATGATTAGGAGCTGTGATAGAGGAATATCAAGTTGAGCCATCAAACGCCTAAGAATCTGCACCTTATCCCAAGAAATAGTAGACAGGGTGGTGCCACTAGACTGAGGAGGAGTTTCTGAAGATCGAGTCATTTGTGCAAGAGATCGCACCTTACCACCGCGGTCACCACCCTTCCAACACAATTCCCGTGTATGCCTTGTCTTCCCACAATAATCACATTTGAAGGAATCCTTAGACATAGTGCTACTCATCTGAGTAGACTTGGGCAGAGTTGAACTCATGTCACGCTGAGAGATAGCAGCCAATGCATATTGGTCTTGAGTAGGAGCATGAACCATAGTAATCCTCCGGTTGAACATGGGCTTAGGCTTCCTGTAAAGTAAGAAAAGGACTACCACCTAATATTAAGATTGGCAAGGAAGTCATACACTTGTTCATTTTTCACCATCTATTGAAATTTAACAGCATCATTCGTATAATCTATTGTGAAACTCTAGTAGTAGTCAAACTCCTGCCATAAAGTAGTCAACTTCGCATAATAAACTACAAGTGTCTTATCTTTTTGATTGGCCAGTCGCACTATCTTACTATCTTTCGAAGATCGTACGCCTTAACATCATTGTCCCGTTGAGAGTATGTATGGGATGCAACAGTCCAAATTTTATATGTTGCATCAAGTACCAGAAAATCACGACTGATAGACATTTGCATTGAGTTAAGCAACTAAGATATAATCAAAGTATTCTCAGATGTCCACTGCTTTAACGAGGTACTTGCCCCACTAGGCTTCTTAGTGTCTCTAGTCAAATACCCATCCAATTGCTTGTACTGATAATAAACAAGCTCGTGACTATGCCAAATAATTTTGCCCATCTAATTTCTTGGGACTAATTTGGAGAGAGGGTTTATTTGCGAGCGCACCTAGAGAGAGAGAAGACAGACGAGAGAAATGGGGTTTAAATACTTCCACCAAAAATAGGATTTTTGTTGCTAATGGCGTTCCATGGTGGACCTTATTAAAGTCCCACTCCATCGCGCACGTTTCCATTTTTTCTTGTTTTTGAAAACACCTTTTTTGTGTTTTCATTTTTTATCCTTGTTTTTAAAACAGAGTTGCTAAAAAAAAATTAGAAACACATCACAAACACATTTTTATTTGGGCAAAAATTGAAAACAAAATTAGAAAAAAATAGAAACAACGCGTTACCAAACACAAGCTAAGAGATACGTTCGAGGAGGCTCATTATTTCAACTAAAGATAGCGAATAATCATTTTATTTTTTTAGTTGGAACTTTAGGCGGTTCGCGACAAAAGTAGCAAAAACAATTAACCTTGGAGTTGAGACTAAGAGGAATGTATTAACTAATGCTTCCATAGATTTGATTGTGGTTGTCAATTATAACTTCCATACCTATTTATTTTGTGATTATTTTTTGGGGGGAATCATCTCCTGGCTACCTCTCCTCGATTTAGCTCTCACTTCACCTTTCGCTTCTCACCTAGGCATCCAGAGACCTGAGCGTCTCATCTTGCTTTGCAACTTAAATAAGAATGTCCCCAAAAATGATCCAAAGCTTGGCCAGACTGGACTTGAAGTCAACAAAAACAGTTTTTAGGATTTGTCAAAACACCCTAATACTTTGTATTCACCCTTATACTTTGGAGCAGATTGCTCATTTCTTCCACTTAATAATTTTTGTTTCATATTTACTAGGATGATAAGAAAATAGGATGATGAAATTTTGATGAAAAAGGCTGTGATTAAAGATGTTACTAGATGTTGTAAGTGAATTGGTGTTGTTATCTAATATTTTCTGCATCTTTAGGCATCAAGGTGTTTCACTGGCAATGCTGCTTAAGCTGGTGAGGGTATTTGGTTCAGTAATCTATTCTTCTGTAACAGCGCCATCTTCTGTTGGTGTGGATATTGAGGCAGAAGAAAGGTGTCACTAAATCCATCTCTAATTCATCTTCAATTTACTTTCCATGTATTTATTTATTGAATGACTGCTATTTCTTATTCTGTGTTGAAAGATTGGAGCGTTGCAATATCTGTTTTATTGAACTTGAAAAGGTCAAGCGTTGCCTGCCCGTCCTTACCAGGTCTGTATTCTCTCATTTTAATTGCTTGTTGCAGTTTGTATTTATTGCGATGCCACTGAAATTACTTTGTTCCTCTTTTCATTTTATCAGAAGAGGGGGTTCTGTTGCTAAGTCTGCTCAGGAGCTGAATCTTGCACTTCAAGAAGTTCATTGAGTACCATACAAATTGATTAGACTGGAGGAAGTGCAATTACTTTGGGACAACTAAATATTTATGTTGCTTTGACGGATTGCGTAACATGAAGATCTGAGCTGCCTGTGTAGGGGCATTCACTTGTTCCATGCACTGTGTTGTGTGGTTTCACCAGTGATCGTGTTTTGTACATTCATGCCAAGTGAAAGCATTAACTAATTCTTTTACTTTTGACCAAAACCTGAAGATCGAGGGACAACCCACTCTGCACCTGCTGCTAGTTGAGCTCCACGGCCAATGATTACCTGCCTGGTGGAGAAGGATCCATCCACACAGATACCTAACCCTTTGTTTAGCATGTTGATTTGTAATTATAGCTCTCTTGAACGGGCCTATGTATTGATTTGATTATCTATAGTGACAAGTTGGTCTGAGCTGTGAGACTAGAAATGTTTGAACTATGTTGATGTTGATAGTTTTGAAAAAGAGCAAGTTGTGCTTTTGTTCCTGAGCGTGAAGTAATATGAATCACTTATTAATCAATTTGTCTACTTGCAAGTGCATAAGGAAAAGGGCAACCGGACCAGTCCAAACAGGCACCATTTCAGTGTGGGGCAAATTATGAATTACTCCCTTGTGGTTTGGATCAGTTGCATATTGCGTCATTGTACTTTGAAAACATAAACATAACCTCAGATTTTGGACCAAAGTAAACTGTTAGATTTTCTTTCCAATTTGAGAGTGCATCAAATGTGCCAAAATAGTTTTTTGGTGTCATGCTCCAATTTCACAACAGATGTGATTTAAATAGAAACTATTTAATTTAAAATTAACTTGTGAGAGCATTCATAGCTACGTAACAAATTAGTAAGCATCAATCTATTTAAATCACAATTAAGATTCACTTCATTTAATTAAATTTTTTTAAAATATAAATCAACTATTAAAGGTTTACATCCTAAACTTCCCAGCAAAATAATCAATTTTGTTAAGCTAATTAAAACTCATAAATTTGGACAATAAAACAATACATCAAATGACTAAGCATTAACTTCTCAAGTTTCAACTTCGTGATTAATATTTTGATCAATATTAGGGTTCACCTCAAAGTCAGCATTTAACCTTATCTTATTCTCTCAACTTAAATCTGAAAAATATTAAATATAAGGATGAGTAAAACTAGTTCAGTAGAAAAACTTTTTCAAACCTAAACAAGGTTTACAAATATACTAAAAGAGGTAGGTTTCAAATTTAGAAAATTACATGTATAACTTTTGAAGTATGCCATATGACATTAATAACGATCTCAAGTTTAGATACACGTACAAAATTTCATTAGATAAGGAATCCTCCATAGAATAAAAGTTTTGTAGCCAAAATAGTTTTTGTATGTAGTTTAACTAGTAAGAATTCACACGCTGAAAAATATTTGGTACACCCCCCCACAAACATAAATCACCCAATCAATTTATACAGGGCCACATTGTTTTAAGGAGTATGTATGCTGACACATCAGTATTTAACGAAATCTTTGTAAGAGTAGTATACTAACCCTCAGCCTCAACTCTAAGTAAACGTGTAGTAGTTTGGAAGCTTGCAAGGATCTAACACTCCATTACAAGTGATAGAGAACCTTCAAATCTCTCAAGGTAAGAAACTCATCTAAGAACTCTATAATATATGTTCGCATGCATTCGAGTTCATCAAATCCACCAATGCAACAGACTTAAATCATACTTTTCAAATCGATCACATATACCACAAGAATCCATTTTCACAATTCTTAGCGTAAAAGAAATGTCAATAAAACATGAATGAGTCCATAAGAAAATATTCTCTAGTTAACATTATTCAAGATCTAGGGCTTGTGAACTCAGAGCACATGGAATCGAAAACAAGTATTTTCAATAATAAGATTTCATCATGCTTTTTGACTAAAAACTAAAGACCATCTATATTATTTATACGATTATGAGTCAAAAAGTACATATATAATAGCCCTAGCCTCAATTAATAGGAAAGAGAAAGAAACTCTACCTTGATTCCATAGAAACTGATCCTAAAGTTTGTTACGTTATTTCCCATATGCTAAACCCAACGATCTTTGGCCCGATCTCCTCTTCCTCCTCTTTGTTCTCTCCAAGTCTCTCCAAGGGTTGAAAATCGTGTAGGAAAACTAGCCCCCAGGGTATTTATAGTGCCCAAACTAGGTTAAACTATGCTTAGTGAGAATCCTGGTTCTAGGAGGCATGTCTAGATGGAAATAGTGCAACCAGATGGAGTAAACATGTTGTCCAAAAATCCAAATTCGCGTTCGGACGTGAAATTGGCATCCAGATGGACCTATTTTTTTCTTCAAATTTCCATTATGATTTTGACCTAATTAGAGGTTGATTCATGAAATTTAAATACACTTTTGTGCAGCTTGAAGTCTTCTTTCTAAAATCGCAAGAATCAGTTTAATTGAAATAGTGTCAAATACTAAGATAGTGTTAAATTTTTTACTTCCCAAATTCTCTCGAAAATGTGTTTGGCTGATTCACTTAATGTCACTAATGTTCTATAATTTTTATGAATTGACAATGAATAACATCTGTCCACAAGGTGAATCACCCAAAGTGGTATGTCGCATGGCATTCATTTAATAAACGTGGGAAGAGGCAAAGTTAGTCGTCATGGTTTTTCAAATTTAAGAGGAGCAGTTACTTGAAGGCTCATGTATTGAGGGAACGAGCAGTTATTTTGGAATTCAAAAGACAATAGTTATCAAGACTGACTTGGCCCTTAAAGTCACGAAGTTAGTAGTTGAAGCAAGAGAAAAAGGCAGAAAGAAACCATTGATGAGAAGTGCCTATAAAAGAGATATTAATCACAGAAAATAGTGACGATCAAAACCATCATAGACCCATGACTTGGGCATCTTAGGAGTAGTATTTAGTTTAGTTTTTAGGATAGAAAGTTAGTGCTACAACTAAGGCTAATTCATTAGTCTTTTGTAACCAAACTTCAAATTTGATTAATAAAAGTGTCCTTTTGTTTAACTTTGTTATCGTTGACTTTGCTTTGAGTTTTCGATTGATTTCATCCATAGAAGTCATGAAACAGGGCAGTTGAACTCCAATCCAAGCAGTCGCGTGAAACCATTCTATCAAAGGATTTCATCTATCAATCGTTGGAGAAAATCCTTTGTACACCCAATAGTCACCATAGAAACTGATGATACCTCAAAATAAATCCCAAACGCCAGCTCATGAGGTTAGCTCAGCCCAGGAGGTCAGCTCAGCCCAGGAGGTCAGACTAGATGAACAGAACTTGGAAGAGTAGAGCTGGAGGTCCCTTCGAGATAAGCAAGGGCAATAACAACCAAGACAATAGCTGGAAGATCACGAGAGCTTCCTAAAAGTGCTAGGAAGCTATAATCAAGGCACCGAATCTCAACCAACCAAGATTTTCTCCTATAATCAAGGAGAACCCCACGAAATAAGGGCAAGAATCTCGGCTAAGATCCCACTGAATAGGGAACAGCCCTATAAATACTATGTAACGCCCCCACGGAACGAGAGAACCCTAGAGGCAAAAAACTAACCATTGTATTCTTGCAATCATCATTATTGAAGGACAAGGAGCAAGAGTCTCCATTAAAGAGTGGATTAGCTGAGCTCCCGAGTTGGTGAATCACTATATTTCTACTGTGTTAATTCCCCAACTCCCCACCAATCCTTAGTATCATTCACTCGAGTCTAGTAGCTCAGATCCCAACAATTCCAATATTGTTCATTTCATTTACTCGTCATCACAAATTTGCATAACGTTGAAAAACACCATCAGTTTGACGCCGTTTGTGGGAACGACTATTCCTGTTACAAATAAAACTGATTTTCCAGTGACTAATGGTATCAACGCGGAACATGAGCCGAAGTCAGACCAATCCTCTACGGATGCAAGATCAACAGGAGGCCGCAAATAACAGGCAACCTGAAAACGCTCAAGAAGCAGATCCCCCCCATGGGGGGCCTTCCCATGAATAATGAGATGGAGGCCCTTCGTCTTGTCAATGAACGTATGATAAAACAGAACGAAGAGCTCTTAAAGCTTCTACAACGCCCATCGGAGGCATGACTGGCCCAAGGAGGCCAGAATAACCCACCACCAAGAGAGCAACCGCATCTCGACCCCCTTAGAAAAGTTAATGAGGTGGGAGAGAATAACCAGACCTTCGGGCAAGAACCTCGCCTACCCCCTAGGAATGGTCACAACGAGGAAGTGCAAAGTCAGTATAAGAAATGGGAGAGGAGCGATTTCTTCCCTTATCAACAGGAGAGAAGAAAACACCACTGGGAGCAACGTTTCAAAAATATCCAGCAAGAGCTCAGCTAGATGAAGGAGGAAGTGAAGAGCAAGGCCCCAGTCACTATGGATGCTTTGGTGTAGCAAACCGAATCCCCATTCATTGTTGGGGTGCTACATTTCCCTCTCCGAAAGCGTTCCCCGAAAGAGAAGGAAAAATGTCAGGGATCGCCTTGGCCCTCCACAACTGGAGTTACAACCAAGGTATGCACCCCGACAGCTCACCCACTGGCTGCTACAGTGTCTCAGATACTGTATGAGGTGCAAAATGAGAAGTTCTTAAGGTGGCCACCGGCCACCCTGGATGAAAGTAAACCTGGCGAAAAGGGATCCTACGAAGTATTGTGACTTCCATAGAGACCATGGTCATCACACTGACGACTGTATCCAATTGAAGAGGGAAATAGAATTTCTAATCCAGCGAGAGCACCTACGACGCTATACGACCAATGATAATCAAAATCGAGCTATCCCACCCCCACCCCCTCAACGTCAAGCACCAGAGCCACACCAACAACCTATAGGAGAGATCAGGATGATATCTGGAGGATTTGTCGGAGGAGGAGGGTCCAACTCTGCCAGAAAGGCCCATTTGCGAAAAATCAGAGCCACAGAAGCTCTCGAAGTATATACTGTGACTAAGTCTCCACGCTTAGACATGACTATCACTTTCT